GTGTGTGTTGTTAGCGTGTGCAGGTTGTGTGTTGCGGTACCTTGTGGTAGGTCATGTGTTTGGCGTGTGTTGTTAGCGTGTGCAGGTTGTGTGTTGCGGTACCTTGTGGTAGGTCATGTGTTTGGTGTGTGTTGTTAGCGTGTGCAGGTTGTGTGTTGCGGTACCTTGTGGTAGGTCATGTGTTTGGCGTCTGTTGTTAGCGTGTGCAGGTTGTGTGTTGCGGTACCTTGTGGTAGGTCATGTGTTTGGTGTGTGTTGTTAGCGTGTGCAGGTTGTGTGTTGCGGTACCTTGTGGTAGGTCATGTGTTTGGTGTGTGTTGTTAGCGTGTGCAGGTTGTGTGTTGCGGTACCTTGTGGTAGGTCATGTGTTTGGTGTGTGTTGTTAGCGTGTGCAGGTTGTGTGTTGCGGTACCTTGTGGTAGGTCATGTGTTTGGTGTGTGTTGTTAGCGTGTGCAGGTTGTGTGTTGCGGTACCTTGTGGTAGGTCATGTGTTTGGTGTGTGTTGTTAGCGTGTGCAGGTTGTGTGTTGCGGTACCTTGTGGTAGGTCATGTGTTTGGCGTGTGTTGTTAGCGTGTGCAGGTTGTGTGTTGCGGTACCTTGTGGTAGATCATGTGTTTGGTGTGTGTTGTTAGCGTGTGCAGGTTGTGTGTTGCGGTACCTTGTGGTAGGTCATGTGTTTGGTGTGTGTTGTTAGCGTGTGCAGGTTGTGTGTTGCGATACCTTGTGGCAGGTCATGTGTTTGGTGTGTGTTGTTAGTGTGTGCAGGTTGTGTGTTGCGGTACCTTGTGGTAGGTCATGTGTTTGGTGTGTGTTGTTAGCGTGTGCAGGTTGTGTGTTGCGGTACCTTGTGGTAGGTCATGTGTTTGGCGTGTGTTGTTAGCGTGTGCAGGTTGTGTGTTGCGGTACCTTGTGGTAGGTCATGTGTTTGGTGTGTGTTGTTAGCGTGTGCAGGTTGTGTGTTGCGGTACCTTGTGGTAGGTCATGTGTTTGGTGTGTGTTGTTAGCGTGTGCAGGTTGTGTGTTGCGGTACCTTGTGGTAGGTCATGTGTTTGGTGTGTGTTGTTAGCATGTGCAGGTTGTGTGTTGCGGTACCTTGTGGTAGGTCATGTGTTTGGCGTCTGTTGTTAGCGTGTGCAGGTTGTGTGTTGCGGTACCTTGTGGTAGGTCATGTGTTTGGTGTGTGTTGTTAGTGTGTGCAGGTTGTGTGTTGCGATACCTTGTGGTAGGTCATGTGTTTGGCGTGTGTTGTTAGCGTGTGCAGGTTGTGTGTTGCGGTACCTTGTGGTAGGTCATGTGTTTGGTGTGTGTTGTTAGCGTGTGCAGGTTGTGTGTTGCGGTACCTTGTGGTAGGTCATGTGTTTGGTGTGTGTTGTTAGCGTGTGCAGGTTGTGTGTTGCGGTACCTTGTGGTAGGTCATGTGTTTGGTGTGTGTTGTTAGCGTGTGCAGGTTGTGTGTTGCGGTACCTTGTGGTAGGTCATGTGTTTGGTGTGTGTTGTTAGCGTGTGCAGGTTGTGTGTTGCGGTACTTTGTGGTAGGTCATGTGTTTGGTGTGTGTTGTTAGCGTGTGCAGGTTGTGTGTTGCGGTACCTTGTGGTAGGTCATGTGTTTGGTGTGTGTTGTTAGCGTGTGCAGGTTGTGTGTTGCGGTACCTTGTGGTAGGTCATGTGTTTGGTGTGTGTTGTTAGCATGTGCAGGTTGTGTGTTGCGGTACCTTGTGGTAGGTCATGTGTTTGGCGTCTGTTGTTAGCGTGTGCAGGTTGTGTGTTGCGGTACCTTGTGGTAGGTCATGTGTTTGGTGTGTGTTGTTAGCATGTGCAGGTTGTGTGTTGCGATACCTTGTGGTAGGTCATGTGTTTGGCGTGTGTTGTTAGCGTGTGCAGGTTGTGTGTTGCGGTACCTTGTGGTAGGTCATGTGTTTGGTGTGTGTTGTTAGCGTGTGCAGGTTGTGTGTTGCGGTACCTTGTGGTAGGTCATGTGTTTGGCGTGTGTTGTTAGCGTGTGCAGGTTGTGTGTTGCGGTACCTTGTGGTAGGTCATGTGTTTGGTGTGTGTTGTTAGCGTGTGCAGGTTGTGTGTTGCGGTACCTTGTGGTAGGTCATGTGTTTGGCGTGTGTTGTTAGCGTGTGCAGGTTGTGTGTTGCGGTACCTTGTGGTAGGTCATGTGTTTGGTGTGTGTTGTTAGCGTGTGCAGGTTGTGTGTTGCGGTACCTTGTGGTAGGTCATGTGTTTGGCGTGTGTTGTTAGCGTGTGCAGGTTGTGTGTTGCGGTACCTTGTGGTAGGTCATGTGTTTGGTGTGTGTTGTTAGCGTGTGCAGGTTGTGTGTTGCGGTACCTTGTGGTAGGTCATGTGTTTGGTGTGTGTTGTTAGCGTGTGCAGGTTGTGTGTTGCGGTACCTTGTGGTAGGTCATGTGTTTGGCGTCTGTTGTTAGCGTGTGCAGGTTGTGTGTTGCGGTACCTTGTGGTAGGTCATGTGTTTGGTGTGTGTTGTTAGCGTGTGCAGGTTGTGTGTTGCGGTACCTTGTGGTAGGTCATGTGTTTGGTGTGTGTTGTTAGCGTGTGCAGGTTGTGTGTTGCGGTACCTTGTGGTAGGTCATGTGTTTGGTGTGTGTTGTTAGCGTGTGCAGGTTGTGTGTTGCGGTACCTTGTGGTAGGTCATGTGTTTGGTGTGTGTTGTTAGCGTGTGCAGGTTGTGTGTTGCGGTACCTTGTGGTAGGTCAAGTGTTTGGTGTGTGTTGTTAGCGTGTGCAGGTTGTGTGTTGCGGTACCTTGTGGTAGGTCATGTGTTTGGTGTGTGTTGTTAGCGTGTGCAGGTTGTGTGTTGCGGTACCTTGTGGTAGGTCATGTGTTTGGTGTGTGTTGTTAGCGTGTGCAGGTTGTGTGTTGCGGTACCTTGTGGTAGGTCATGTGTTTGGTGTGTGTTGTTAGCGTGTGCAGGTTGTGTGTTGCGGTACCTTGTGGTAGGTCATGTGTTTGGTGTGTGTTGTTAGCGTGTGCAGGTTGTGTGTTGCGGTACCTTGTGGTAGGTCATGTGTTTGGTGTGTGTTGTTAGCGTGTGCAGGTTGTGTGTTGCGGTACCTTGTGGTAGGTCATGTGTTTGGTGTGTGTTGTTAGCGTGTGCAGGTTGTGTGTTGCGGTACCTTGTCGTAGGTCATGTGTTTGGTGTGTGTTGTTAGCATGTGCAGGTTGTGTGTTGCGGTACCTTGTGGTAGGTCATGAGTTTGGCGTCTGTTGTTAGCGTGTGCAGGTTGTGTGTTGCGGTACCTTGTGGTAGGTCATGTGTTTGGTGTGTGTTGTTAGTGTGTGCAGGTTGTGTGTTGCGATACCTTGTGGTAGGTCATGTGTTTGGCGTGTGTTGTTAGCGTGTGCAGGTTGTGTGTTGCGGTACCTTGTGGTAGGTCATGTGTTTGGTGTGTGTTGTTAGCGTGTGCAGGTTGTGTGTTGCGGTACCTTGTGGTAGGTCATGTGTTTGGTGTGTGTTGTTAGCGTGTGCAGGTTGTGTGTTGCGGTACCTTGTGGTAGGTCATGTGTTTGGTGTGTGTTGTTAGCGTGTGCAGGTTGTGTGTTGCGGTACCTTGTGGTAGGTCATGTGTTTGGTGTGTGTTGTTAGCGTGTGCAGGTTGTGTGTTGCGGTACCTTGTGGTAGGTCATGTGTTTGGTGTGTGTTGTTAGCGTGTGCAGGTTGTGTGTTGCGGTACCTTGTGGTAGGTCATGTGTTTGGTGTGTGTTGTTAGCGTGTGCAGGTTGTGTGTTGCGGTACCTTGTGGTAGGTCATGTGTTTGGTGTGTGTTGTTAGCATGTGCAGGTTGTGTGTTGCGGTACCTTGTGGTAGGTCATGTGTTTAGCGTCTGTTGTTAGCGTGTGCAGGTTGTGTGTTGCGGTACCTTGTGGTAGGTCATGTGTTTGGTGTGTGTTGTTAGCGTGTGCAGGTTGTGTGTTGCGGTACCTTGTGGTAGGTCATGAGTTTGGTGTGTGTTGTTAGCGTGTGCAGGTTGTGTGTTGCGGTACCTTGTGGTAGATCATGAGTTTGGTGTGTGTTGTTAGCGTGTGCAGGTTGTGTGTTGCGGTACCTTGTGGTAGGTCATGTGTTTGGTGTGTGTTGTTAGCGTGTGCAGGTTGTGTGTTGCGGTACCTTGTGGTAGGTCATGTGTTTGGTGTGTGTTGTTAGCGTGTGCAGGTTGTGTGTTGCGGTACCTTGTGGTAGGTCATGTGTTTGGTGTGTGTTGTTAGCGTGTGCAGGTTGTGTGTTGCGGTACCTTGTGGTAGGTCATGTGTTTGGTGTGTGTTGTTAGCGTGTGCAGGTTGTGTGTTGCGGTACCTTGTGGTAGGTCATGTGTTTGGTGTGTGTTGTTAGCGTGTGCAGGTTGTGTGTTGCGGTACCTTGTGGTAGGTCATGTGTTTGGTGTGTGTTGTTAGCGTGTGCAGGTTGTGTGTTGCGGTACCTTGTGGTAGGTCATGTGTTTGGTGTGTGTTGTTAGCGTGTGCAGGTTGTGTGTTGCGGTACCTTGTGGTAGGTCATGTGTTTGGTGTGTGTTGTTAGCGTGTGCAGGTTGTGTGTTGCGGTACCTTGTGGTAGGTCATGTGTTTGGTGTGTGTTGTTAGCGTGTGCAGGTTGTGTGTTGCGGTACCTTGTGGTAGGTCATGTGTTTGGTGTGTGTTGTTAGCGTGTGCAGGTTGTGTGTTGCGGTACCTTGTGGTAGGTCATGTGTTTGGTGTGTGTTGTTAGCGTGTGCAGGTTGTGTGTTGCGGTACCTTGTGGTAGGTCATGTGTTTGGTGTGTGTTGTTAGCGTGTGCAGGTTGTGTGTTGCGGTACCTTGTGGTAGGTCATGTGTTTGGTGTGTGTTGTTAGCGTGTGCAGGTTGTTTGTTGCGGTACCTTGTGGTAGGTCATGTGTTTGGTGTGTGTTGTTAGCGTGTGCAGGTTGTGTGTTGCGGTACCTTGTGGTAGGTCATGTGTTTGGTGTGTGTTGTTAGCGTGTGCAGGTTGTGTGTTGCGGTACCTTGTGGTAGGTCATGTGCTTGGTGTGCCAGTCGCTCTGCAGCCAGTGTTCTGGAGCGTTCTCCTTCACAAAGTCACTCACGCGGTTGCGGAAGTCGTTGGGTTTGAGGAGGAGCAGTTGGATGATGAAGTAGCAGACCTGAGCCTCGTTCCCCTCGTGACTCCTCATCGCCTGCATGAACACACACACAACATTCAGTGCCACGGCGAGTGCTTAGAAATGTTTGTTTAGTGTAGCATGTTGAGACAGTAGAGCTCTCAGGAAATGCTTTCCAGTGTGTGTGTGTGTATTATATTAAAACGGTTAGTTCCAGTCCTTGATTCTGATTGGTCAATAGCTGTGTTTAAGTCACAATAAAAAATGGCTATTGCCGCTTTACCCAACGGTTCTATGTATTAATACACAACACCCCTAGCAACCGCTCTTAGCAACGTAAACATATATTTGTTGTCACTGATATTGTTCGTTGAAGCTGATAGAGTAGAGTATTGTGGGAGATCCAGTAAGTGTGTGTACCTTCATTTACAGTAGATATAGCATCTTCCTTCAGGTCAGTCCTGTATTCATAATAAAATATCAGTTTGAATGTCCGCTGCGATATCTTGTCCTTTTATCAGTTAAGAGGTTTCCCGTAACCTGACACGCTAGTCATCTGTCAGTTGCGTCTTGTTTCTCCGTGTTCACAAGATTCAGTCCTTTCAATATAAAATTCTTCTCTACTGACTGACTCGCTCATAAAGACAGTCTTTGCCGCATCTAATGGCGTAATAATGTAACTCTGCTGCTGTTCACGGTCAGGGTCTATTTTTTCCAGCGGAAGGAAGGCTTTTAGTGATTTTACTTCAAGAAAGTGGAATTGATACTTTTTTTTTTGGCTATAATATTTGTATTGTGTGGTAACCGTTTTATAAAAGCAATAAGGTACTCGAGGCTAGTGCTGTATCGTGGATAATCCTCATCAGTAAAGGAGCAGGGTGTGTGTGCAGGGTCTTCACAAGGCGCCGCAGGTCTGTGAAGCGCAGGCAGGGTCAGTGTCAGTGAAGGCACCGCTCGATCAGGACTGATACATGGACGTGTTCAGTGCAGCGGGACGCTCATTGATCAGCGGATGAGACGGCAGATCCCCGGGCTGTTTCTGTTTGCTTCTCACACACAGATGATGTTTCACATGTAGCTCTTCTCCCATGTTGCAGTAACACGCCAATAAATCCATGAGTCAAACATTAAATACAATAACGGCTATGTTTACATGCACAACCTTTCTTTCAATCGAACTGAATTAATTCCGATTGATGAATCTGAACGTAGTTTACATGAACGCTAAACATGTGATCGGGTTGATGTACAAGCTTCAAATCGGAAATGATTTTTTGACATGCACGAATATACAGAGTTTCCCGCTGTTTGCGCATTTATAACTATTCTCCTACATTGGTCCTTTATTTGTTTTAAACAGACTTAATATCCGTATCTGGTGATGATTTGGAGACAGTGAGCGTATGAACCGTTGTGACGAGCTGCTTATACTGATCACGCAGTAAAACTGCCCAAAACCAGTCGTCTGTGGGTGAGAGTCTGAAACCAGGACTGGTGCTCCACTTCACAGACGCAGTGAAAGGAGAAGTTTAGTTTAGGATGACGGGACACTCATTTATACGACACTTTATTCAACAGGAAGAACAGCTCGTTCCGCGACTCAAACGTCATTACGCTATTTCTTACATCATTGCACATGCGCAATCCTTTCAGTTTCGGTTTTGAATCCGATCAAGTGTTTACATGTTCTCTCGATCGGATTAGGAAAGGAATAATCTTAGAACCTTTCAATCGGATCGAAATTTCATTGGGATCGAGCTCAATCGGATCGATTAAACATGATGTTCTCATGAAGGCTTTTCGGTCCGATTGAGCCGCCAATTTCGGATTATTTGGTTGCATGTAAACGTAGCCACTGAAGTGCAGCGGATTCACTGGAGATATAAACATATCTATAAACTTTTTTTTTTTTACAATGATTACATGTAATTAAAGCACTTTGGCAGTCTGAAGGCCTGTTCACACCGGGACGAATTTCGCGTGCGATATTCGCCGACGTTTAACGCCTCGTGACTAAACAATGGGCGCCAATGTGAGTGTGCACACCGACGCGAAAAACACCACGCGTAAAAGCGTCATTTTTTAAAAAAAGCTTCTGAAGTTACAGTAAAACACAACTTGGGGGCGCTCAAACACAAAACGGTCTTGCCGAGCACACATACGTAATGGCGAAGAAGATATACAGCGTCTACACTCTGCCGGGAAGAAATAAGACGAGGAAGATGCAAGGTTAGATCAAGCGTGCCGCACAAGCCCTCAAAAGTGAAGCCAAAACGTCTCGATCGCCCCCCAGAGGCCGGTCCTAGTATAGGCCATAAGCCCCGCCTCCCCGTGTTATTCAACGGGACGTGAGACCAACTAAACAATAAATTACACTTCACATATCTTTTTTCTAAAGATAGTTTCTGTCATTTACTGTAGTTTCTATCACGTTGATGTAATTTCAAGTGTTTGTTTTTAAAATAAGTTTGTTTTTAGTTAGTTATTTGATGCTATAAAAACGGTGCTGTGACATCATGATTGACAGCTGTGATTGACAGGTTCTCTGTGTGAAGTAGTCACTGAAGCACCAACTGACTTTTTTTCATAATGTTGACTATGTGGTTAGTAGTTGTATTTACCTTATTTTAATGTGGTTAGTAGTTGTATTTACCTTATTTTAACGAGGTACTGCAATCAGCAGACATCATTGGAGAGGAACAGAGCAGACAAGGCCACTTAAGAAAAGCGCAGGGGCGTGTGCTTACGATTGATTCAACGAGAGTGAGGGCGGGGCTTTGATTTCGCGGCTTTACTTCCTGCTCACGACTGGTCCCGAAAACGCTACTGCGCAAACTTAAATTCCAATATGTCAGCGCCATATCGGGACACTGGCGGCTTCAGTTCTCTCCAATGGAAAAGAGCGAAGGGGCGTCGTCCATCTTTTTTTACAGTCTATGGGCTAGATGAATGTAGAGCTGCTGGTCTTGTTGGTGTCTTTATAAAGAGACACCAACGACAATAAAGAACAAACGCGACAAACTTGCTCTCTCCTTCTAAGTGTCAAGCGGAGTTGCGCAGCGCCACTTTGTGGACCGGGGTATTTCTGTTTTACATTAAGCGGGTGGGTGTGAACACAAAAAAACGCGTTGAAAAACGCTGACGAATAACGCGAGCCGATATTCGTCCCGGTGTGTACGAGGCTTTACAAACCGCCTTCAGAAAAGATTTGAATACCATCTCTGATTTAAATGCAGATGGTTAAATAAATGTCCAATGATTAGGTCTTTCAACCATCTTTCAATGATTAAACAATTGGTTTGCATAATTACTCCCTGAAGTTCCAGTGTCTCGGTGTTTGTTGCGTCTCTGTTTAGCTTTAACGATAGCAGCAGGAACTAAACCTGAGGATCATGATGATCTGCATGACTTCAGATCATCTTTCTTAAGCTTCACTGGAATAACAAAATCTGACCATCTGTATCACAATCAATCACATGATCAATGACGGTCATGCACTGCCTTCAACAGTAACACTGTGGATTCATTGACCTGAAACGTGTAAAACAAGCTCATGTTGCAGATGATTGCAGTGTTGTTTGAGTTATTTGACAGCCGATACTCTCCGGGTCGAGTGAAGAGTGATGCAGTGGGACAGGAGGAGGGCCGGGGCTCACCAGGCAGAGGATGAGTCTGTCCAGGGTCACGATGTTGTACTTCCACACCATGTCGTTGAGAATCTCGATGCACTTGTTCAGCTGCTGCCCCCCCGCTGACGTGGAGAACTCGTACACCAGGAAGTCTGCAAAGGTCCTGACGTGGGCCACCAGCGCCCGCGCCCCGATGCGCTCCAGCACCCTGAGGGGAGGAAGACAGAAACCCTTGACATGCAGCAGAACATGTTCGGCATCATCACGCTAGAGCCCATCTGATGACAGACTCTGGTTTGTTTAGCTGCTAAACTCACTTCAATAGGTAAACGTTTGCCTATTAAAATGAATATGACTTAATTTCCTGTTTGGCGTCCTCGCAGTCAGATTTGCTGGTGTGCTGCACAAAAACTATCTGGTCAAGCAAATATCAAAACAAAGATCTATCTGAGAAAGACTGTAGGAAGAGTCTAATAAATCACATCACAGCTTTATCCAGTAAAGGTGTTTCAGTGTAACTGTACAAACGTCCTCCTTCAGCTCGAGCTTCTCGTGTCTTTCTGGGTCAAATCTGACCTGATTTATCAAGGAAACGCAAGAATAACTTTGATATTGTTAGTAATATTTCACCTGGGCTGAAGCGACTGAGGTTTACTTGATCATCCAGACATTATTTATTAGAAAAATATGATCATCAGGCTTTTGAGGAAGGTTGATTTGTTCATCTGTCAATCATCACTGTATTGCACTGCATTATATGATTTAAAACTACAGAGCTTTGATCATAAAACTAAGCATTTAAAAGTCCTCTTACTAAGACATTATTGGCACATCTTGATATTTATATGCATTTCATGTAAGTATCTGCTAAACTGTTATAATGATCTCATTGATTTACAGTAAAAGTGATCAGTATTTAATTGAGGTATGTTTTCCTACATATCATTATATCATATAGGTTATATATATATATATATATATATATTTAAACTACATTTAATTTAATATTCAACATAATTATTGATCTGCATTGACACCACTATATGAGAACTGAACTGAGCTGGACGATGACATCACGGTTTTATCCAGAGAGGCTATATATAAATAAATGAACTAAATTAACAACTTTTTACAAAAAAAATGAACCATCACTGAACTAAAGCTGGACTCTGACACTATTTTCTTCTGGAAACAAACTTTGTTCCAGTTTTCACTGTAAAGCTGCTTTGAAACAATCTGTATTGTAAAAAGCCCTATAGAAATGAAGCTGACTTGACTTGAGACATAAAAGCCTGATATGTCAAATATGAATGTATCAAATAATATAATTTTTATTTTGTTTATTTTTTATTGTAATATTTTGTCTAACAGTGCAACAAACTCTTCCATAAAAAAAAACAAAAAAAAAACATGCTTTCTCTGACTATTATATCATATGTCAGGCTCTACAGGGTTAATCCACTCAACGACCATGTGACCAAACCTGTGTGAGACAGACAGCGGTTTCAGAAGCGCTGGTTGAGATTCCACATACTGCTAGAGAAGTCTCGATTCTGTTTGTATTAAAGAGCTTTGACAGAAAACAAAAAAAAGTGCGTTTCACATCCCAAAAGCTCAGAGCAAAACACAGGGAATCCTCAGAGAAACCTCTCAGCAAAGCTACTGTCAAGAGCTAGCAGCATCTCCCTCATGAGCTCGAGAGAGAGAGGAACATCAGACAGCAGGAGTCGGGGAACACCGACACCAAGACATGTGAGAGAGAGAGAGAGAGAGAGAGAGAGAGAGAGAGACTTCTGCAGGGCAAGAGCGTTTCAGAGACACTGAAAACACACACGAGCCACAGGAATACACACCACTACAAACACACCAACTCTAGGCCAAACACTACAACAGTGATGATGGAGAGTTAGATGTACACACGGAAACATTCACAACCAGAACATTTGCTCAAACTGTACTGAACTGAACAACTCATTGCTGACACATTCAATAATCACAATGCTTTTGATGGGAAATTAAATCAAGCAACACTGTGAACACTGCAATGACTTCAGTGAGACATTTGTCCATTTAGCAGGCATGTGATCAGCTAGAGACACAAAAGAAGGAAAACCTTACCCAAATTACTACTATTAAAAATATTATTTCATTAAATTGATAAAGAAATATCCTATTTTTGCAGTAATACATACTTTTTTTACTGCGAAATAAAAAAATCGACTAAATAATAATCATTCATATATTATATTATAACACATAATAAAAGTATTAACAGACACTTAAGTAAAAGGGGATTTTGGTATAATTTGAATTGGAAAAGTAAGACTAATTATCCCTTGGTTAACTCCTAGTTGGTCAAACTAGATTTTAAGACACTAAGTTTATACAACTGCTTTTAAGCTGATAGATTGTAGGCCTTAATATTGATCAAAGCTTATGAGTTTTTTTCTTCTTTTTTTAGGTGAATAAGCTTGATGGACTACGATCGATCAGTTCCAATCAAAAACCTGTGCTATTGAAAGAAAACAAGTTGTCAAAAAGATTGAATCCAATATTTTGTGATAATATAGCATAACCAGAGATTTAAAAGGCCAGTCATTTTTGACCTGGAACACCAAATTATGTAAAGGATTTTCAGCACAGCACAAGTGAAACATTGGCTCAAGGGAGAGAACAAACCGGCAGGACAGCAGAAGAGGCAGGGAATAAGAATGAGCGATTACATAAGCGTTTTCTCTGAACTAGCGTTTGAATGTTGAGACTGTGTTTACTGCCACTGACAGTGTTCACATTGATGTCCAGTGGTTTGATATGGTGTGTGTCGTGCAGGCTTTGATTGCTCTGAGAGAGGCAGAGATGTCAGAAAGCTCTTCTCCACATCTGTGCCTCTGCTCTGCTGCTGTAATGAGGGAGAGCTCGTGACTGGAGAATAAAGTGGATCACACAGGGCCGCTGCATTCAGCCCAGCACAAGCAGCCTTTATACGGCCGAGAGCAGCTGCACCACACACACACACACTTCAAATGATGCAAAACAAACTAACAACAACCATTCAAAGAGAGACAGATAGACGCTGTGGACAAAGGACCCTTATTGTGCTTGTAAAGGCTGATCTCAGAACACCGTCTGATGATACGTGAACAAAAACACCAGACAAAGGTCCAGGAACACACACTAAAGTCACACTAAATACATTTAGTTGTATACGTTATGTTTATTGTAGATCAGGTTTAATGCTCCACACTAACTGAAATGCACATGGTTTTGTGACAGATAAACACTGATCTGACTGTACACTAGTAATTCGCTTGAGTTTTGTGTGTGTGTGTGTGTGTGTAACAAACAGCTGTCTGTCATAAGAGCCTTCACGCAACTGTGGTTAAAAGTCACACCTAGAACCGATTCTACAATTCTAAACAATCTATTCAGAATCATTAAAGAAAGAGTCGAGATGAACTGGAGAATCGCTTTTCCCCCCATCACTAGTAGTCAACAGTATGGAAGCTGGTTTCTGCCATAGAATAAAACAATGTAAATAATAATTGCGACATTTTAACTCACAATTGCGAGTTTACATCTCACAATGCTGACTTTCTTTCTCAGAATTGTGTGTTTGTGAATTTATATCACGCAATTACATTTTTATTTATACTGGATACTGGATTCTAAACAACAAAGAAATGCCACAATTGATCAAGAGCTTGAAGCAGATATGAGGGAGAAACACCTCATATGAGCCTCTCACAAACATAAGGGTCTTTCCTTGCCAGTAATCTTGGATAACACGCCTACGTCTCCTTCCATTTAAAATAATGGCTAGTGCGGTGGCTGGGATATACGTAAACCTTCCAATGATTTTTGGAATGACTGATCGCAAGAGGAAAATAACGTTCTAGTGGCATAACATCGGTTAAAGCTGCAGTCCGCAGTTTTTCCTCTTTGTCGCCATCTCTGTTCGAAATCTGCAATTGCAGTTATTTGCAAAATTATCAACTTTACATGAGTTGTACATCAACACCCTCGACACAGCACAGCGCGGATGAACACAATGTTTGAGGAGAGTGTGAGGCTGTCAGTCGCCGCGCCGGTGTGGATACTGGCATTCAGAATCACAGATTATTCTTTTTGGAAGTATGACCATCATAATAATTTTCACCGGAAAATGTAATCTGAACGAGTAAGAAACATCCACTTTTGTTCTGGTTCTGACGTTGCAGTAAATCGCGCTGATTAAATCTAACAATCGCTTATCATATTACGCAAAAAAACGTGCAAATTATACTTTGTTCTCAAATTGTTAATGTTAACAACGTCAGCATTGCGTGACTACATGTAATGTCCTTCCGATATTATCCTTGTTTTCGCATGGGCCGGTTGCAGTCTCTTTTTTTCTGTAGCCGCTCCGAAGTCGTTTGAACCTTTCTGGATCCGCCATCAAATTGATAAGTTTAATTATATCAAATGCTGTGAGAAAAGGCTACAAATCTCCACCTCCAGCATCCTCACTCACAATATAGTCTACTAGCCGAGACTCTTCTTCATGTGTACAGATGTGACGTAATGACTCAATATAGTCTACTAGCCGAGACTCTTCTTTATGTGTCCAGATGTGACGTAATGACTCAATATAGTCTACTAGCCGAGACTCTTCTTTATGTGTACAGATGTGACATAATGACTCAATATAGCCTACTAGCCGAGACTCTTCTTTATGTGTCCAGATGTGACGTAATGACTCAATATAGTCTACTAGCCGAGACTCTTCTTTATGTGTACAGATGTGACGTAATGACTCAATATAGTCTACTAGCCGAGACTCTTCTTTATGTGGACAGATGTGACGTAATGACTCAATATAGTCTACTAGCCGAGACTCTTCTTTATGTGTACAGATGTGACGTAATGACTCAATATAGTCTACTAGCCGAGACTCTTCTTTATGTGTCCAGATGTGACGTAATGACTCAATATAGTCTACTAGCCGAGACTCTTCTTTATGTGTACAGATGTGACGTAATGACTCAATATAGTCTACTAGCCGAGACTCTTCTTTATGTGTACAGATGTGACGTAATGACTCAATATAGCCTACTAGCCGAGACTCTTCTTCATGTGTACAGATGTGACGTAATGACTCAATATAGTCTACTAGCCGAGACTCTTCTTTATGTGTACAGATGTGACGTAATGACTCAATATAGTCTACTA